CTAACCCTAGAAAAACCAGAGCTCTCCTCTGTCTTCTCTCCTCAAAAATGTCTAAAGGTAAAGCAAATTTTGCCTTAGAGAGAGCTTCTCTCTATATGCCTCTTGTAAAGCTTACAAGACAAGCTTTGCAAGAGGGAGATCCCTCCATACACGTGTATGGAGGGGAGCAAAAGCTATACAGCTGTCTAAAAATATCTGCAAAAGCAGATGAACAGCAATCGGCCGGCAAAAAATGCCATCTTGGCCAAACAAAGTGCCGACCGGCACAAAATAGTGCTGACCGGCAACAAAGAGTGCCGCCCAGCAAACTATATTGCCGGTGGCAGCAAAAACCAGCCGGTGGCATCTAGCCACTGCCGGTGATGGGTGGGGATGGTCTACAAGCCCCACCCTGCCCTTCCAAGGCAGGATGCAAGTGTTTGGTGCAAAACCAGACACTAAAAGGTCAAGTTCGGAGATCCTGAGACAAGGCGCGCGAGCCGAGGCCTCCGGGAACTCCAAACGAACACAAACAAGGATAATCACCGAGTGTTCAAACGGTGACGTCCAAGTCTTGAGGACGGTCAAAAATGGGGTGTCTACAGCAGCCCATTGTAGTTTCAGTCACTGAAAGGTACAAAATCAACGGTTTCCCTAGTTCAGACGGTGACAACACAGGTGGGTTTTGTAAATATTGTTTGATCTGTTTGAAAGCTGCTTGGCATCGGCCGTCCCATTGGAACTTCGTTCTTTTTTTCAGGAGACCAAAGAATGGTTCACAAGTCAAGGTTAATTTAGAAATAAACCGTCTTATGAATTGCATTTTACCTAGAAAGCCTCACACCTCCTTTTCAGTCATCGGTGGTGGCATTTCTAAGATGGCCTTGATTTTGGAAGGGTCGACTTCGATACCTCTCTGTGTGATCAAGAACGCCAGCATTTTTCTTGCTGTAACACCAAATGTACACTTCTGAGGATTCAGCCACAACTGAAATTCTCTGATCCTTTGAAATAACTTTTCCAAGGCGGTGTAGTGGCCCTCTCTTTCTTTGGACTTGACAATCATGTCGTCCACGTACACCTCAACCTCTTTGTAGATCATGTCATGCAATGTTATGGTCGCAGCCCGTTGATATGTAGCTCCAGCATTCTTCAGCCCAAACGGCATCATCCTATAACAATAGGTCCCCCACGGGGTGGTAAAAGCAGTATTCTCCTGGTCTTCAGGTGCCATTACAATCTGGTTGTAGCCTGAAAAGCCATCCATGAATAAGAGTAATGCATGCCCCGCAGTAAAATCCACTAACTCGTCGATATACGACAGAGGAAAGTCGTCCTTCGGACTGGCTTTGTTTAAATCTCTGAAGTCCACACATACCCAGATTCTGTCGTCCTTCTTTGGCACTGGAACGATGTTGGGCAACCAAGTTGGGTATTCAGATACTAGCAGGAACCCTGCGTCAATTTGCTTGGTGACCTCTTCTTTGATCTTGATAGCCCAGTTTGGGCAGATCCTTCTGACCTTTTGTTTAACAGGTCGGGCCTCAAGGTCAAGAGGGATCCGGTGCTGTACAATCTCAGGATCGATTCCAGGCATGTCTTCGTAGGACCACGTGAAAACATCTTTGAAATCTTTTAATAAAGCGACTAAGCGCTCATGCTCCTCCGAAGACAACGTGGATCCGATCTGGACCAGCTGCGGGTCGTTCTCAGTACCAACAGTAATTTGGGTGATTTCATCAACCAGTGGTTTTACAAACCTCTCCTGCTTTTGTTCTAGCAAATATTTCTAAACTGGAGGAATCTCTTCCTCGTCGTTTTCATCGAAGTTTTGAAAGTCCTAATTAATACAATAAATCAAAGGCATAGAAAAGTAATCGAAGGCCACAACCGGACAATTCTCATTAAGTACTTCATCCAGTCTATCTGATTCCTCTGTTACAATAGACTCAAAAGAGAAAGAAAAAGACGACCTAGACAGGACTGTGGCATCCGGGTTGTCACCCCCAGGAATACCAGACTCAGACTCAGACGAGCTGGAACCTGATTACGACTCTACAGACTCGGTGGAATCAGATTCCGACTCACTACTTGACCCGGTGCTGCTCGATAAGAATCCCTCCTCGTATTGCCAAATGAGGGAGGGTGCGACAGATGCATCCAAAATGTTTGAAGGTGGGCTCGCAGCTGTTTCATTCCTGATCATAGACACTGAGAGGTTATTCCCCAAGCACTCATGTACGATCGGAGAATTTGATAGTAGACCAGCCAGTGCTACCCCCATTTCAGTCTCGGTGCTCTCGAAATCCACTTCCTTACACTATTCAATCTTAGCTGATGGGTCTGCCTGCTCCTCGGCCTCATCATCCCCAAACAACTGCAAGTCAAAAAAGATCTCAAAACCTGGCAAGTCGGCATTCAGCCATGGCTCTGGGAAACTGCAGAAGGGAAAGTCTTCCCCCTCCCAGACAAAGCGTCCGTTCAGGGTACCCTGGATGGGCCAATGCATTAACTCAAAATGCTTCCCGGTCTGCTTAGCTCTGGCTCTTCCAGTCATCTCTTTGCCTTTTCTTACCCAGTCCTCTTTGGTGGGTAGATAACCCAAGCCGAACGTATGCGGATTACGCAGCACTTCGACCGATACTACAATGCCTTTCCCGCCACTTCTTCCCAGTCCCATCCCAGGGATGTGCTGGAGTTTGTTCATGAGGTACACTGACTGTGCACTGACATACAATCCCTCAATAACGGCTAAGATACTCTATAAGACCCGGGCCTCAGCTAGGGTAAATCTTGACAGGAACACATCCTCCGTGCCATGCTCGATTTCCAGAACTGGTGTAGACACCTCTGGCGGCGAATGAATTAATGAATTCCTGAAAACTATAGCCATCCCTTTCCCATGAGGGTATTTCAACATCTGATGCAGGGTGGAAGAGACAGCCTTTACCTGGTGCAGCCACAGCCGCCCTAGGAGTAGATTGAAGGTTGCGAGAACGTCCAAGACATGAAAATCAATCTTGTGTTGTCCTGGACCAACCTGGGTGTGAATCTTCACGGTCCCCATCACTTCTTTGCTAGTATTGTCATAGGCCCTTATCACCTAGGCAGTCGGCTCAAAGTCCGCGGGCTTCAACCCGATTGCATATGTTGTCCTTGACGAGCACACATTAACGGCAGATCCTGTGTCAAGAAGAACCACTGGTATCCACTTGTCTCTACACTCCTCAGAGATGTAGAGTGGTTTGTTGTGATTTGCGCCCTTAGGCAGTAGTTCCTTATCAGAAAAGGTCAACGTCAGGGAAGTTCCTCCCAGAAAGACCAGCCCTACCAGTTGTTCAAGTGTGGTGTCTATTGAAAGTTTGGCCTTGTCGATCGCAGAAAGGACAGCATGTCTATGTACTCTTGAAGCCACAAGTAGTCCCTAGATGAAGATGTCTGCTTGTGTTTTCTTCAGTTGTTTCAGCACAGCCTCTTCTTCGAGTAATTTCTCTCTTTGCTTCTCCGCCTCCTTGTCGTTCCCGGACGCTTCTGGTTGATCTAAGTGCGGGGGCTTGAAATAATGCCCACTCCTAGTCATGTGGTCAACTTCGCCAATGTACCAGGTATCATCCGGCTGATTTTGCCCCCAATCTTTATCTGTGTGGACCAGATATAGATCATCATCTTCCCACCACATGCCATCTGTAGCTGACAGACATCGGTCTGGCGCCGTCACAACTATATCTGTGTCTATAGCACACCTTCCGTTCCTGTGTCCACAGAACGCTCTGTTCCCTCAGGGGCTTTGGCTTTTTCAATCCTCTCAGAATCCTTGATCCTTTCTCGCTCGAACTTCTTCAGTGCAGCCTGCTGTTCAGTATCTTCTGTTCCCAAATTGCTCGTTTTCTGAGCAAAATTCTTTATACCGGTGCTCTCTGGTGATGCAAGCTGATTCTCGGTTCTTCCGGCCACTATTGATGTCTCCGTCCCTGGAAGACCGTGTTCTAGTTGAGGTTGTTCGACAACATCTAGCTGGTCATCAAGCCACCTTGTAGACTCTGTTGACCCATCAAAGCAATTGACTGCCACATCCCCTGAATCTAGTTCTTCAAAGAACTGCAGATTTCCTATATCTTCTTCCAGATCCGCTAGGTCATCTAGCCCCTGATTAGGTCCATCCTCCCGTACTACACAAATCTCTGCCCCAACTGGCAATTCCACTGTCAACCTGGCCTGGCTTGCTGATATAATGTAATCACTCGGATTGTTCATGAAGCTCGCAGACCCCTCAGGCTCTGACTAATCATTCTCATCTGTTTCCACAATTGACCCAATTCTATCTTCGATAGCCACCACTACTTCTGGTCGGGTTTGGGAGATGTCTAAGATACACAAGTCAGTGCTGTCAGGGATGAACACCTCCGGCTTGGGTAGGTGAGAAGGGGTGATATATATGCTAGGGTCGTATGACACAACCCCAATTTGGATGAAATTGATGCGTTTGGGAGGTGGAGCTTGGTTATGTGGTGGGAGAGGGTTGGTTGTGACATTCGGTTTTTTCGGAGGTACGAGCACCTTGTTATCAATGAGATCCTGAATTCTCATGACGTAATCGAAAGCATTGGTCGGTGTCATGACCATGATGTAGGTGATAGGCGCAGTACTTGGTTGGGTTATGGGAAGCAGGGAGTCTGTCTAGTAGTGGTCGCGGCTCTAGGGGCTTCAAGTGCCCTTTCCTGATCAAAACCCCCAGAGCTTTGGACGGGGGCATGTATAGTGGGGTGAAGGTTCTTTGGCTTTGGGGTGGATAATTGGTTGTTTGTGAGCTACTTTCGAACGCACCGGTGAATGGTGTGGCTGCAAGGGTTCTTGGAGTGGTGGTGGTGGTAACCATGCCCACGTCTGAAGATCTGGCAGCTGCAGCACTGCTTGTGCCTGCATTTGTACTGCGGTTGAATGCCCTTTTGGGCTGC